CAGCGCGGTGATGACAGAGGAGAGGCGTCCCAAAGTAAGTGGGCGAGCGAGTCCCCGGGGGTCCCGGAGGGGAGATGCGGAAGGGGGGCTGTGTCCGTGCGCACCTGCTGGGACCCGCCAATGAGCCACGTGAGGGGCTGCAGGAGCGAAAGCCGGGGCCTCCTATGGCACCCTGAGCACCCCTCAGCCGTCCCCTCAACCCAGCGTCGGCGGGGAAATGGTGCCAGGGTAGCCGTGCCTCCAAACGCGCTTCAGCCGGGCTGGACGAGCTGCACGGGTTGAAGCCGCAGGCTCGCCTCGTCCTTCGATCCGCTCGCTGCTGGTTCCCTGTGCCTTTAGCGATGGTGCTTACTGCGGCGCAGCTCCACGCAAGCAGTTTCTGAACGCACACTTCCAGTTTGGGTGTCTTGTCTGTGGTGTGGGCAAGGAAGGCGCTTCAGTGGGATGCAGGACCCGTATGACGATGAAGTTCATTTAGTTCGGGATCTTTTATCCTTATTACCCACTCTCTAATTGCTTTATTCAGTTTAAAGTATCTCCTCACAGTCAGACTCCTCACTTGAGGACTGCTCCCTCACGAAAAATGTCTCAGGTGGTTGATGCTTTTCTCCTGTTATAAAGTTCAAAACATACCTGCTGGAGTCCCCTGGCCACTTCTGCAAGGGTAAATGTACTTCACTAACAACCAGCAGTAGTGCTGACTTTTTGGAAGGTATTTTTTAATTCATTTCTTCCAATATTGGCCTTGTTAGGAATTAGAGGTTTATGAATATATTTGTGAAGCTGTAAAGGTGGCTGGATGTAAATAGCAAGGTGGGAAAATAAATTAAGGTCATCTTAGCAGGAGGTATAACTAGTATACTGAAATTAGGAAACAGAGCATGGGCAAACATTTTTTGTCTGGAGTTTGTGTTTCCGTTAAGCAAGCTGGCATTCAGTAATTTGAAAATCTAATATTGGCTGCATTTTCCAAAATTTAAAAATACTTATGAAATACCCATAGCAACTTACACTTGAATGGAAGCCCACTTGCTGTGAACAGAAGTCTGTGGGTTTCCATGCTGATATAGTGCTTCTCATAGTTAAAATACTAAATGATGCATATATTGTGCACGTCTTCTAGCAAAAAATGTCTGAATTTTTACCATGGAACACTGGAACGATAAAGCGCCTTTTATCTAAAATAGGGTCTGCTGTGCATTACCTTGGAGTATTATCAGTGTTATACAAATTGCTATTAACGCTTCGTATTTTATAGCAGCTTCTTTCTAAGTGAATCTGCGTAGGGGGTGATTACGTGCTACAGTGTAGTACACTGGCACTCACGTTTTAAAGCCATTTCTGAAAATGAAGTATCAAAGCGTCCCTATCACTTGTGTCCAAGCTCACACTTTTATTTTTCCACGTCAACCATCGCCTGTATTGGTGTCTCCACCGACTGTCAAAGCTGTTAGAGAATTACTTGGGGCAAGTAAACGCAGCTCTGATCTTTGCGTGGGGTTTGCAACTACAGGTCTCTGTGAATGGGACAGTAGATCCACCAAGAAGCCATTTTGTGGCTCTGAAAAAGATCTGGGGACAGCTGTGGCTGGGACCAGCTGTGAGGACACGGTCACGTTTCTACCTACGCTGGCTTTGTGCTCTTGTAGCGGGTGACAGAGGCTCCCTGGCCCAGCGTAAAGCCTACTGGCATCGAGTGAGCCCACTGGAACCTGTTAACGAATTAAAGCTGGCAGAGCAAGTTCACACAGAGCCTGTGCTCCGCGTCACGCTGCCGTGAAGCTTCTGATCTGCTGCGACCAGACTTACCATGTCGTTAGATCGCAGCCGCCGTCGCGTCTCAGGCCTGTCAGCTGTCCAGGTCCCGCCACCCGTGAGCCCTGTGGGTCACCGCAGCCTCGGTGCTGGCGGTGCCGGCTCCGGTCACTCTCCCCAGATACCGCAACTGACCGAGTTTGTACCAAATGCGCAAGGAGTGTTGTAGGCCAGAAGTATTTTTAAGTTCTTTTGTGTATGTACAGACAAAATCAAGCTGTATGGGGTGGCCGGAGCAGCTGTACCCGCGGCATAACCCACGGCAGCACATTTTGACTGTTCCCTGCAGGTGGAGCAGTACGTTGGTGAAATTAAAGGTGGCCTGAGACCAGCCATGAAGCTCACGGTCATCGGGGTGGTGCACTCCAACCCCAAGAGGTAGGTGGAGCGGCTG